GAGGAGGAGGAGGAGGAGGAGCAGGAGGAGGAGGAGGATGTGGAATGCATAGGTAGTTGTCTCCACCATCTCAGGCTGGAAGAACTGGATAGCTTCCAGCTACCATTACCATTTTGATCACAGATGCCAGAGCAGAATCGGGATCAAGAAGAGGGAGAACGCAGCATGAGAATTTCCAGTGAACTCCAGGTTCTGGAGTCTCAAAGGCCAGATAGACCCTGAAACGACTGCCCTGAGGTCATCATCAACCTTGAACCAGAAAAATTCCCCTGCAGGCTCTTAAAAATGGAGCGGCTCAGGTTGTTAGTACACGTGTCTCCTAGAGCATTCTGTTCTGTTAAGAACCATCTCTGTGGGTTCCAACCGATGGTAGCAACCCCAAAGATTTCCGTGAGTTTACACGAGAGAGGGAGGGCAGCTCAAAATGGTCGTGCAGCAACGTGACCCAGCCAAGGAGTTGTACGTGGTGGGTACCTTTTCTGTGTGGCTTTTCAATTACATGGAAATCTAGAAAGGAAAAAAAAAAAAGGCTAAATGTGGCTTCTGATCTTCACAGCCTTTCTTCAAGGTCGTGTGTGTAAGTGTGTGTGTGTGAGCGTGCACGAGAGAGTGTGCACACATGTATGGTGTGCGTGATGTGTATCTGGGGGCACTGTGCAGTTGTATGTGTGTATATATATATGCATATGCATTTGTGTGTATATATGCGCATGTGTGTGGGTATATATGTGCACGTGTGTGGATACATATGTGCATGCGTGTGGGTGGGTGTGCATGTGCATATATGTACATGTGTGGGGAGGTATATGTGTGTGCACGTGTGTGGATATATATGTGCATGCATGTGGGTAAGTGTGTGCATGTGCATATATGTACATGCGTGTGTGGGTATATATATGTGCATGTGTATGGATATATATGTGCATGCGTGTGGGTACGTGTATGTGTGCATGTGCATATATGGACATGTGCGTGTGTGTGTGATTGTGTGTGTATGTGTGTCAGGGGTGATGGGAGTTCTCTTCCCCGTCTAGTTGAGACTGAGGCTGAGACTGAGAGGGGACCTTGGTGACTTGTCTGGCATCACCTGGTGATTAGGTGACAGAGTGGAGAGCTCAGCCCAGGTCTCCGTGACACTATCGGCTGATCCCCGGAGAGGGAGGGAAGCAGTCACCCCCGCTTAACTGCCCACTGGGGAAGCTGCTGACACCCCCCCCCCCATGAGCCTGGCATTGCTGACGCCCCAGGTCTCCTTGCTTCCCCCAGAAATGGCGTCTGGAGAGGTCCTGCACGTGAAGACCCCCATCCGGGACAGCATGGCCCTGTCCAAGGTGGCAGGCACCAGTGTCTACCTCAAGATGGACAGTGCCCAGCCCTCCGGCTCCTTCAAGATCCGGGGCATTGGGCACCTCTGCAAAACGGTACAGGCTGGGTGTCCACGTCCTCCAGGCAGGGGACAAGTCCGCTTCCCTGAGTCCCAGGATGGGTCTGCTGCCCCTCCCAGTGCCTGCCCCTCCCCAATTAGTTTCTCTGGTTAAGGGACGCTGATCCATGCGGGAGGACACCTCCTAGAGTGACCCTTAGGCCTCTCTCTCATCCTCCCGTGAGCCTGATGTAGTCTCAGGAGACCATGGCAGCACAGGTCAAGCCTCTGTACCTTGGAATCTTCCACAAGTCCCTCTGGGTGGACGGGAAGCTCCCAGGCCCAGACTGGGAGGTGGGCTGACCCCCTCCCGCCTTATCTCCACAGTGGGCAGAGAAAGGCTGTGAGCATTTTGTCTGCTCCTCAGGTAAGCGAGCTGTGTGTCCTGGGCCTGGGCTCCCACCTCTCTGGTCCTGATCTGCCCAGTTCTGCCAGCTTAAGAGCACAGGCACCATTTCCCAGTTTGGAGGGCAGCCAGAGGTCGCTGAGAGCCACGCCCCCCCCCCCCCCCCGTGGGGTGGGTGTGCAGCCCCCGGCTGGACGCCCAGGCCCTTCTGTGTGATACATACCCCCTTCCCCGGGCAGCGGGCAACGCAGGCATGGCCACAGCCTATGCTGCCCGGAAGCTGGGTATCCCCGCCACCATCGTAGTGCCCTGCACCACGCCTGCTCTCACCATTGAGCGACTCAAGAATGAAGGTGCCATGGTCAAGGTGGTTGGCGAGGTGAGTGCCAACCCAGGGTAGGGCCACGGGGCACCTCCCTCCCCGATTCTTGCCCGGAGCCTCACACCTCTGTGATCTCGCAGTCTCTGAACGAGGCCTTTGAGCTTGCTAAGTCTCTGGCGAAGAACACCCCAGGCTGGGTCTACATCCCTCCTTTTGACGACCCCCTGATCTGGTAGGTGGGGCGGGGGTGGGGGTGGGGGGAGGGGGCACTGGGTGTGGGCGGCGGGCACCTGCCACCATGCACACCATCACCCTGCCGTGCACACCGCACTTGGCCACGTGTGCACACAGACCGTCTCCCTTCCCCGTGTCCACATGCACGCACAAGCGCACACCTGCACGCCTGGCAAGTGGTCACACGCGCACCCTTGTGTGCAGGCAGGCGAGGCTGGGTTTGTCCCCGACACTGTCCCGAAGGCAAAAAGGGACTTGGTTTATTAGGGAGGGATCTTGGTTTTCTAGCACAAACACCACAAGGGGGGATGTCAAAGAGCAGGTGTTTGTCTTCTCACCATTCTGGCAAGAGTCCGCACCTCTTGGGGCTGTGGTGAGCTTGGTCTTCCCCTGCTCACACACGACCCTCATAAGTCACCTGCCCCCACCCTCTGCTCCCCGGCCCTCGCCCCAGGGGGAGGGAGACGTGATAACTCAGAAGTGATTGGGTCTAGAAGCCACCTCCCTCCGTCAGGTATCGGCAGACCAGCATCA